CAGTCGACCGTGGTGTAGTACCGTTATTGCCTAACATTAGCTTTTGCCAGTTGTGTTTATGCTTCAGAAATTATGAAAGTAGTGTTCAGATTATCTTGATGAACAAAACATGCGCGTTTCAAACTCTTTTTTCCCGCCACAGAGCGTATTTACTGCACTAATCCAAAAACCATAGAAGTTATCGTCGCACTGGTTCCATCAACAAAAACCTTGGGCTTCTGTCGATGGAACCCCGCGCAATGCTAACTTCCAGGTTGGCCTTAAAAAAAAAATCGTCATCCCTGCAGCCCTCTATAAGCTCTGCACAAAAGTAAAAATGTGGATTTTAAGCGACACCTTAATAAGTGAGTAAAATAGAAAACTAATCAAAGTTTTTAGATGCAGTGAACAGAGGGTCACTTAAATCACATCAGAATTATTCATGTTGAAAATCTTGACTTACTGGAAGTTGATTCTCATTCTGTAGCTTTGTCTTTTGTGTGCCTTTCTGCTCTTCTGACAATATTCATCAGCAGTATGTTAAGGCGCTTAGTTATCATGATTAGTGTTTTGAAATGTTTCACTCGATCACGAGGGGATCCGTGCTTAATGGTGAAGAGCGGTATGACCGGCATCGTATTGATGATCTGAAACTACGAGTGCAGAACATCAGCGGCAGCAAGCAGCTGCAGAAAACTATTAAAACGACAGCGCAAGAAGCTTCAGTCAAAACATGAGACGTTCCACCTCAATCAATTCATTTACGTGATTGATGTCAATCAGCAGCCATGCATGCAGCTGTTTAACTGATAAAAACAAAAAAGGTTGCAAATGTACTTAAGCGGCCATGAACATACCTGGACGGCCGCCTGAGTGTTGTCTGTGCGTGGGAAATACTAGAGAATTATAAAGAATGAAAAAAAGAACAAAATGTCAGGAGGTGTGTGCTTTTCTATTAAGAAATATGATTTTTAATTTGTGATAATAACAGTTGAAAGGACATGTTTAATCTATTGTTATCATTCTGCGGCAAGTTAGTCTTCAGTTGAAATTAAAATTCCTGAAAAGAATCCCCGTTCTTTGAAGCGGCTTGATCATGTTGAGGTGAGCTGAAGTGATCAAAGAATTTAGGTGAGAGCGACGACAGCGTCGGTGACTGCGCTCTGAGCAGCTCTCTCACTACTGAGCTATATTTAGACAACACACACCAAGAAGCACCACAACAGTAGGCACGCACTGACCCCCACCATCTGCTCGCTCACACACACACACACACACACACACACACCCACGCTCACACCCACCTACACACACAGTCACGTTTACAAACACCTTAAGGTTTTAAGGCCAACTGCTGCCCACAGACCCCCGAGATAAACCCAGGTGGACTTATTTTGATTCTTGTCACGAGATGCTCACACACACACACACACACACACACACACACACACACACACATTCATAGACGTATTTAGGGGACTCCCCGCATTGTTGCCTCGGCAATAGAGTGGTTAGAACATTTTCTCATTATGGTGGATGCATATACTTTATGAGTACACAAAAACAAGACCTCCCAAAGACTCACTGTGGGAACAGTGAGCTACATGGGGAGCCATTTTAATGAGGTTGTGGTTGTGTGTGTGTGTGTGTGTGTGTCAGTCTATGTCTATGTCTAAAACAACACATCTGTCACACTGCTTCATTTATGGTAAAAGGACAAAATGACCCCACAATATCGGTATTATCCCTCTTTTGTTCACATTTATATTCATGTTCTCTTTCTGTGTTGAATTATTTTCATATACCTGTGCCTCAGAGTAAAACCGTTTCATTCACACTCTCTTCAACATTGTATTTTGAATGTGGAAATTTTCTACAATCTCCCGTAGCCAGACACAACAGTGTGACTAAGATGTCACACTGAAGTGTCTCGGCATAGAAAATCAATTACCAGAGATGTGAAAGGTGGCTGAGACGGCAGCCAGTTAGATTTTTCTGGGGGTATAGATCTTATTTAGCTTCTTTAATACAATACAATAAAAAAAAAAATCATGTTTGGGTGTAAAAACAGAGCAAGCATTTTTTAAACATTTAATGGTGAGTTGCTCCAGGCTTGTACGTTTAGGTTTTTTTTCTCCAAATATTCTTCATGTTATGCTTGTATAGGATAAATATAGATTTCATTTCTGTGTGTAAGCCCCACAAAACATCCTTTTTCTTTCTTCTCTAAATCCCTCCGCTCATGCGTTTCCATCAGAGACATTGACAGAAATCAGTGATTTTTTTTTTTGATTTTTTTTGTGTTGTGTTAAGGGGTTCACAGAGCGTTCTCTCCTTCTCTGCACTTGAAAGATCGAAGCGTCAGGGTGAAGATGACAGTGTTGATGTCCTCACAGGCGTGCAGCCTATTAGACAGGCAGACTGACAGTGCAGCCTAGTGGTAAAGCTATGGAGCCTCACACATGAACACACACTGCACAGATACAGAGGATAACAACGTTTTGCCTGTATATGATGCGTAACCCTCTGCACCTTTGTGTTTGTCTGCCTTGCTCCATGCTTTATTGAGACATTGCACGTAGGCACAAGGCTCCCCTATACATGCTGTGGAGGAAGCATTATGAGCCCACACAGAACCCCCTGTGTCTGCAGGCCTCAGGGGGGTGGAGGACGGGGTTTGGCAGGCGCAGCGCTGCCTCAATTTGGCCTGGTCACTCATCTCAACTAACCCTCCGTCTCCTACGCTTAGTAGGCCAGCTGCATGTATGCACACACTTAATACTCGGAGACATTCCTCACTTGTAGTCTTAAATATTTTGTGGGATTAGTAGAACTCTTTTCTTTTTCCCCCCCCTTGGCAAATCAAGCGGTCCCAACAGTGATGGTTTAGCAGCAGCAGCAGAAGTCGTGTCGTGATGGCAGTGGAGCGGTGACGGTGTTGTGCCTCCATGTCCCTGGGCTTACAGGCTGTACAGTTTGTATGTTGGGAAACAGCACGGCAGCAGAGCTGGCAGACATCAGAGCATGGAAGGGCTGTGACCTGTGCACATTAGACCACAACTTTAACTCGCGGGGTGCAGCTGGCCACAGTTCAAAGATGCTAGGTAAATAAATAATAAATCATTGTAAGGCAAAGAAAACAGAATAACCATAACCTGTTTTATTTAATTAAAAAGCCTTGGAAATTAGGGAAGTGTATAGTATCAAAACAATTACCAGGAAAAAAAAAAAATTAAAATGTTAATTTGTTGTTATTGTTTAACTTTGAGTATCATGAACATGTTTTTTTTATATCATTGAGTTTGAGAAGTCGTAGTCACAGTGTCAGTGTTGGTCAGTTCGTGTAATATTAGAATGGAGAGCAGCCGTGCAGACAGCTTTACTATAACACAAATAACCCTACAAAGTACTTTAACATATAAGTATAATCATTTGATCATAAACAACAACAACATAACATAGAAATATACGACTACTAATTATATTAATAATAACATTTGTAAAAAATATATATATATTATTATTATTATTATTTTATTTTTTTTGTATATACTTCTAAAAGTACCATAAACATGTTTTGTTATATAATACTGACTTTTAGAAGTAATGGTTTCTGTATTAGTGTTAGACAGTACGTGTGATATTAGAAGCGACGGCAGCTGGGCGCTCTGCTCACTATAATCCTACAAAGTTCTTTAACACATCGTAGATAATAAGTAGAATTTCTTATCATAAATAACTATGACAGGGCATTAAACTACTGCTACAATTAATAATATTTAACATTTGTATTATTATTATAACCAGAAGTAGTTTTAAATGTGAAGTCGTTGTGGAAGTAGTGTCAGCGTGGACAGTCTTAGGTTAGTTAGTGGGCAGACATTTCATACATGTTATATAATAATATATAACATGAGTAACATTTTAAAACAAAAAACATTTGAACTATTTGTATTATTATTTATAGAAAAGTTGGCAGACGTTGGAGAACTGGTAGTTGTGAAATTAAAGATATGTAATGAACTCCTTTATCTGATGTTAGAAGTACTAAGGATAGTAGCAACGGTTGTCATGGAAGCACAAAGACCACTTTTTATACTTAACTCCTTATTAGTATGAGTTTTAGTATCATTTTCTGTTGGAGTAATAATAACAAACTTGAGTAATATACTAACTTGGTTAAAAGACATAATATATTAGGAGGGTTAGTATTGTCTGTGCTTAAAACAAATAGTAGCAGCCGTTCAAATTAATTCTATTACTACAGAATGAATTATTATTAAAGTTCAAAGCTCTTCGCTGAACTTGGAAACAGCAGCTGACAGAAAGAGATTTAATACTAAAGGGCTCTGAAGTTGGATTGTTCGGTCCTTGCAAACAGTATGATTAGTTTTTTCTTTAATTGATGTACACAATGACAAAACATTTTTTCCTTTCAGATTTAGAATAGAATAAAATCTCTTTATTCTCATTATACACTTGTGATGTGATTCCCCCTTCAGATCAGGTCACTTTGCAGTGTTGTGAAAATGTGTGTGTGCGTGTGTGTTTGCATGCCAACAATTGATCAGGACAGGTGCTGTGATCTGACACATTTGCAGAGTTCCTCACCATTACATGAATCAATACATGATCACAGCGCTTGAATAACAGGCGTTCATACAGAATCATGTGAGGACGCACTCAGCTGCACCTGGACTTACAGATGATGATAATAGCTTTATGAAAACAATACAGGTGATCGATAACTGATCGTTGTCCTTGAGCCTTGCAGACATTCTGCTGTTTTCAGTTCATCCCATCAGTCAGATATTCGCCACTGGGTAGGTGAGAGTGTGTGTGGGAGAAGCGAGCCAATGACAAATGAGTGTAAATAACAGAGAGAGTGAGAGAGAGAGAGAGAGAGAGAGAGAGAGGGGAGGATGCTGTGTGGTGGCTCATGACCCAGAGAGATAAACAGAAAGTGTGAGTTGGCCAGGCAGGTAGTACAGGAGGGTGTGGCAATGTGGAGGGCATCTAACGAGCAACGCCGGCTGATCCCGCGCTCTAATTGGCTGGTGAGACTTTGACTGACACGCATGTCCCTCCCCCCCTCCGGCTGCCTACGGAAAGTGTATGTATGAATGTGTATGTGTGTGTAAGGGAGCCGGCAGACTGAAGCGAGCCACAGAGGCAGCCTCCAACTCCAACCCAATGAGCTCGCAGCCCTCACACTCACACACACTCTCCTTACACACACACACACGCACACACACTCTCTTCAGCGCCGGCTCTCGCGCTCGATTCAACCCTGGGACTCAGAAGAAGAAGGAGGAGAGGAAGCGGAGAGAGAGAGAGAGGCAGCGAGCGGCAGAGAGGGAGAGTGAGGGTGTAAGAGAGGAGAGAGGGGGAGAGAGGCAGAGGGAGACTGGCAGGGTGTGAGGGAGAACACCATGGCTTCAGATCCGGGGCTGGCTGCGATGCTGCTGTGGACTATATCACTACAAGCTGTTGGCACCGCAGGAAGTAACAGCAATGAAGGTAAGAGTGTGTATGTTTGGGGGGGGGGGGGAGTGTGTGTGGACCCCTTTTATAGATGGACAGTTAAACCATGCATGTTCTCTGACAGCGGGGATTAACTTCATACATGTGGGAGACCCTGGATAAGAAACTGACAATGAGCCAGCGTGTGACTCCCAAAAAAGAAAAAAAAAAAAGGTGGTATTTTAGTGTGCATTACTCGGGCCATGACATCAAAGTTTGCTTTGCACAACAACTCGGGGCAGTACGGTTGTATCTGTGTGTTTGTGCGTGAACTCGTTTTGACATTGCTCATGTTAGCGCGGGTTGCGTGTCAGCCGCGGTAACAGCGCATGTGTGTGCTGTGGGGGTAAGGTGGTGACGTGAAAGTGTGTGTTGGAGTGTGTTTGTTATGCTGTTCCCATCCTGTATGTAATCTGAGGTAAACATCTTTATGAATCTCACTTGTGACGTGCATGTTTTTGTGTGTGTGTGTCTTGTCTCACACACACACACACACACACACACACACACACAGCACTTTGCTCCCTTAATCCCAGCTTGGGTTTGTTTACTTCTATCCTCCTGTCCTTCATCTTTCCACACAAAGATGGAAAAACTGTTGTTGTCACTTGTTCAACTAATGCAACACACACACCAAAAAGTCCCTTAGTGCCTTTCGTTATGTATATGCGTGTGTGTGTGTGTGTCTGTATGCCTGTGTGACAGGGTCCTTGACATAGGTCTGGTCTCTGGAGGCTGAGTGACAGCAGCGATTCAACTGTTAGGGCCTTCTTGGCCCTGACAGCAAAATTCAGCTTACCTCTGCGGGGGGAAAAAGCAGCAGCAGAAGAAGAGGAAGAGAAAAATGGGGGAAAAAAAAAAAGGATCAGTGCTTTGGTTCAGGGGGATCACCTCAGCTGTGGCAGCCACTTATCCTGTATTAAGCTGTGTAAAGTCGGGATGGGAAAGTCGAGCCGCCTTGGGTCAGACAGAGCAGGAAGCTAGGGGTCGCCATACACAGACAGACCGACAGACCGGCGGTGGGCGAACAGGCAGTCTGATCAAGATGTCCGCGGTGTGCGTATTACCACAGCGGCAAGCACTTTTGCATCCTGTGTAATTTGGGTGTCAGGTTTTATTTCCTTGCCGCCGCTCCTGTTTGACCGTAATTTCACGTATTGACTTCCATGTCAAGCGTCCTCGTCTTTCACACTCCCTCTTGTTTACCATTCAAATTCATTCAACCTCTCCCGTGGTGGTTGCTGCCCTTTGCTGATTAGCGATTCAGCATGATTAGATAAATAAAGTGTAAGATGCACTTTATTCCAGTGCAATCCCGAACCTCTTTAACTATCCTTGTGTGCGTGCAGGTCTGAATGTGTTTCCACTCACTGCACTGCATGAGGGATTGCCGTGCTATCGGTTGCTCGCTCGCTCAAGACTTACAATTTCCTGCTCGAATTGAAACAACTACAGATGTCTCCTGTACAAATCGTGCCCATGTTATTTAATCAGTAAATGCTTACTTTTTGCCATATATAGCAAATACATATGTGTACATTAAAGGTTATTTACATGACTCTGATCCACATTGCGAGGCACTTCTTGACACCTAAATGATCTAAATGGTGATATACACACGCTGGTTATAGCAGACATTTTTTTTTGTTGTACTTCTACGAATAAAAGGTAACATGGCGGGAGAGGGAGGTGACTTGCAACCAAGTTCTTTGGCTGAAATCAAATGAGGGATGATGCAGATATCGGTCATCTCTTTAAAATCTGTGTGTTTTGAACCCAGACTGTTACCTTTAAGTAAATTACGTGTTTGCATGGCCGGAACCCCCCCCCCCCCCCCCCAAAATAGCGGTTTGACTATCATTTGGCACTAGTACTCGAAAATGTATTGTTTAATCTACTAATAATAAACACAACAGAGCATTTTCATTAGTTGTTAATTGGACCCCTTCGAATTGCTGCAGGCTAAGGACTCTAAACAGGGTGTAGTGCTCATAGAGCTTTAATAAACTTGTGGGCCTGTGCAGAGCTTTGTTATTAATCATAGGATGAAAACTGTGCGGCTTTACAAAACTCTGAATGTCAAACTCAGCGTTTTAACGTCGTGATCAATGTGTCTGATTACGCATAATTTAATTTACTTGGGATTCCTAGAAAAATGTTCTGGCTCAACCACAAAAGTCACCACAGAGTTGTGATAACAAGAAAAATATTATTCTACTTTTAACCCAAATACTAATTAATCTCAATAAACATTTAAATCGCTAATCAATTTTCATACACTCTACATGAAAGTAACCGCTCGTCTTCCATCCTGTTTAGAAAGTGGAACATTGTAATTAAGCCCAAGCAAATAGTTGACGCCTAAAAAGATGACTGATTGTGTTTAAAAAATGATAGCGCTGAGAAATTACTTTTCTCTTCTCTGCTTTGGTTCTGCCGAGATCCGACTCGGGGGCAATTGCAAATATTACATGTACATGGGGAGATAACCTTTGGAATGACTGGAGAGCTGCAAATTAAATTGCTGGGAAAACAGGTATCTGCACACACACACACACACACACATACACACACACACACACACACACGAGACTCGAGAGAAGACCGAGGCAGACGTATATTTAAAAAATGAGCGAACCCATGGCCAGCCATTTTTTTATTTTCCAGTGGTTCACGTTTATCGTTGTTTCCATCATGTGCAGATACAGACAACTTCGCCCTCTTCTAATTTATACAAGTATTACTGTCAAAACAAAAAACTGTGTCCGAAAAACCCTCTCACTAATTTGTTTGTGTTGAGACGCCATTTGTGACTGTGTATGTGTGTGTGTGTGTGTGAGTGTATGTGTGTGCGTGTACGTCTACACCAAATGTACAAAGGATAAGGGGAGAGAACGAGACTAAAGAAATGTAGTCTTGATATTTTGGACCTTTTCATATAACCTCAGTCGATCACATGTAATATGGAGACAGCGTAATGATTACAGAATCAAACGGCAGTTTTTTTTTTTGTTTCTTTTTTGAAGAGGCTTGAATCGGAGACAGACCAGCAGGGATGAAGCGGAGGAAAGCCTCCTCAGCTTACAGTGATTTCACTTGCAGGGGAGGACAGAGCTGTTATAAGAGCAGATGCAAAACTTTGTTTATGAAAGTTTTTTTTTTTAAACGGGCATCCTCATTACTTTAGCGTCACACGGTATAGGTGGATATTTTTATTTTTTTTACTTTATTAGTAAATAAAAACGTTAAAATAACGCGTTAAATAAGTTTACTATTTTTGTAAAATAACACTATTCGGATAATGTAAAGGTTTGTTTTTTTGTCTGATTTTGAACCTAGATTTTTTTTAAATTCATATAAACCCCAAACGACCTTTCACTCACATCTCTTTCTATTCCCCTCCCCTTCCTTTAGCCTTGTTCCCGTAATGATAAATTACTTTGTACAAGAATAAAATAGTATGACTTTTCTAGTGAATGAGTGAGGCAATGCATGAAAATTAAAAATGTTTAGTGTTACACTCAAAATGTGAATTCAGTTATTGTAAGTCAATTTCTATTAGCGGTTTCAATCATCAGAAAAATAAAATGTAAATAGGATTTTATGACATTCAATTTTCTATGGCAGTGTTACTGGTTTATGTTACTTACATAAATCTTTAAGTCACTTTTATCTTTAAGACAATAGTAAAATGCCTATTAGCCTGTTTCCTTATTCAGAGCAACAGCCAACAGAGTTTTTTAAAGGGTGCATTCTTTTTGAACTTTTTTCCCTTTATTGTAGTTATGTTAGTAAATCAGTAAAAATCTATTATTATTATTATTATTATTATTACTGTATAGAGTTGAAAATTCGGGCGAGAGAGAGAGAGGGGTATGACATGGCACAGGTCGGATTCGGACCCGGGCCGCCCGCTTCGAAGACTTCAGCCTCTGTACACGGTGCGCGCGAACTAGCCACTCGTCCACCGGTGCCAAAAAATCTATTTATTAGTAATTTTGGCACATTTCTTTGTATCGCGCGATCCTATTATTATTGTTTTTTAAACAATTTGGGACTTGAAGTTGTTATTTTCTGAAATATCAGAGTAAAGCGCCTTTAAAAAAAAACAAACCAGCAGAAATAAAAAAACAGACACTTTTCTTGCTGAGAGCAAAATCTTATAAATGACATGAATGACACGCGACCTTGAACTTAATTTTTCTTTTTAAGTCAGACGGATAAACAAACTCACAACATCAACACAGCAGTAAAGGTTCTCACAGACAGGAGCCATCGGGGGTATAGGTGGTGTTTTCAAGGAAACAAATCTAAGGGGAAACACACTCTGTTATTTTCAGGGATGGAAATGGCCGCATTATAGTCATTGGTATAAAATGCTTGTTATCAGTATTTCAGGTGAAACAGTGTGGCACAAACACGCACAGAGAAAAACAAAATGAAGCCCAACCTTTCTGTTCCTAGCAGCTCCCTGTTTTGTTGTGGACTGACTCATTGGACTGTATGGAGGTGGTGGTTTCCCTGAGCACCCCTCGTGTCTGCGAGCACTGTCCCTGATTCAACTCCTGCACACTGTCTCACACCGTCACACTCCCAGCGAGAATAGAGCGCGTTCCTTCAGGTTGTTGTTAGCGCTGCGGAACATGAAAAGCCTCATGCAGAGAGCAGGACCTGCTGCTAATGAGCAAACTGTAGGTGGATGATTATTACCACATACCTCTGCTGCAGGAGGACCAACTGGGGAAAGAAAAAAAAAAAAAAAGACATCTAGGAAGGGAGCGATTAATAGCAACAAAGATCCCTTTTTTCCCATTAATTTCAGATTTGAACACGTCATTTAGAAGCAACTAAATCGCAGGGAAAACAGGAAATGAAGAGGGAGAAGTTGAAAGGAAACAGACAGCTGGGATCTGCAGTTTTTCTCTTTGTGCAATAAAACAGAGAGCACATTTTGGCTTGTGAAAAAAAGACAGCACAGCTTTTTGATTTTGATTACC